TCCGGACAAAAACCCAAGCAAATCCTTGCTGAAAAATGAAAAGCATAAAACACCATCCAACACTAAAACAACAAGAAACAAAAAAACAAATGGTAGCTTTCACAGTAGAGAAGCGAGCTTTGGGAGGATAAAAAGCAATGAGCCCATGGCGGAAGACACAATCCTTGCAGGTTTCGGAACGTTGGAGACATTGCAAATTACAGCATTCGAAGGTGGCAGTTATCCAACTGCTAAGTACTCGCAAGCCTTCAATGGCATAAGGGAAACCCTGAGCCCATTAGAACCGACGGGTATGCACACTCACGGGCTGCCACGTTGGTGAGCAAACACCTGTACAGCCTGCACATGTCTGTTCTCTTGACTCCTTGAAGCTTCGGCACCCTTGTGCAACTTCTTTGCAGAAACTAAAACGTTCATCATACACCAATGTCCAAACATGGGGCCGTGCATCACCTTGTGTAAAGCTGATGTCCTCTTGGGCTCTGTCAGAGTGTCTGCCGACTTTTTTGCCCGCCACGCGCACGCGAGTGCTGAGCGCGCATTAGCGCCTGCCCTTTGGCGCGCAGGTCCCTTTTTACGTCCGAGTAGATTATAAATTTGCCCAAGCTACCACGTCTAGAATGTTCTGACTGTTCTGACCATAGCAAGGGACAAGATCATTGCATTGTGGCGCGTTTGCGTCCTCTGTGTCTACCTTGGACTATTATTCTGTCTCTATAGGCAGTATTGAACGCTACATTGCGCAAAGGGGTTGGACATCTCCGAACGAAAAACCTGATACATCATCTTACACTGCAACCTGTCTAGCAGGTCTGAGGGTCTTCGAGGATAAGGCTGCTTCGCTTCCCTCCACACTCATGCATGGTTGCTGACCCTTGAGTAGCACAAGGCTTTGATAACTACAATTCTCCTTGAAATATTGAAATACATCCCATTGTTTCTATGCGTGTGCTTGGAAGGTAATGTCAGCGCATCATGTCCTGATACAAAATTCGACTGAATTTTAGGAATCTTGCACTTACGGGGCATGGAGCTGTTCTAGACAAGGCGGAGTCGTTTATAAGCGGCTCTGTGTTTGAGCTGCGCAGAAGGTATCTGTCCATGAGATCATTGAGCCTAGATCTTATCTGCGTTCTGGGATACTGAGCCATCCTCAAACCTGACGACCTGCGGCAGTACCCGCGGGTCGGCTAGGATTGCCGCACCTCATACAAATCCGCTTGGCCTTCCGGCGCGTAGGAAAGAATGCATCTGGGTCAGGGAGATTAACAACGCATCGGCGTACGCGTGGCGTATCCTTGGCTCCACTAACGAAGGCACACAGACCTGCGTGCCCGGCCGATGTCAGGATGTGGTTGAGCCGTCTGTCAGCTTGGACTATTTGACTGTTTGTTGTGGACATAACGGTTGCGGAAGGTCAGCCAGATGATGAGGAAGCGCAAACAGTCGAAACATGCCTTGGAATCTTTGCGACGCTATCTTATGACACGCGAGGCAAGGGTGCGCTGGACATTGGCGCCGTAGAGAGTGAGACTTGTCGAGCTTTTCCGGGGCGCCAAAGACAACTCTGTTTGGAAATGGACAGGTGTCCAGCTCCTTGTCTTACGCGGGGGCACTCCAGCGGCTGGGTGGCCGCTTGATCCACCTTGGAACCGGAGGTTGCGCCGTTGCTGGAGCTGAGGCTCTGGAGCTGAAGCAGGCAAGCTCAAGGGAACAAGGGGTCACGCCGTCAGCTACTTCACAGCGGCGCCGCCGGCGACTGGGTGACGCAAGCCACAGGAGCCGGAAGAAGCCCAACACGCAGAAAGAAAGCGGAAGAGGCCGAGCTGGATGGCCACAATGAAACATGGAGCCGATCGTGGGCACAGCTGCGCAGAGGAAGTATGCCGAGTCAAGACGCGATGATCTTGATCAACGAAAGACTCCTTCATGAACTGGATTTGGCATGGCGCAACACAGCGCAGAGACTCTCACCCATGGCCGCCAAGGGGCGGCATTACGGCAGTATGTCAGTTCTTGGCGTGAAGTTCTTAGGGACGGCGGACGACGCCGCCTGCGCGCACGGGTGCGAAGCCACTCTCTTGGATGTCAGGGGCTGCGCGCATGGATTCTAGCTCCACAAAGTAAGCCCCCTCAAAGCAAATGAGCTGTGCCCTAGCCGAAAGTTTAATTGGAAGATCCCGAAATGAATAGCGCTCGTCGCTCAACAGCTCCTCTTCCTGGTCTCTAAGCATTCTCATTTGTCAAAGGTCAGGTCGCCATTATGTGGAGTCCAGATTTCATCTTGAGTATGCGGAAAAATTGCAAACATGGTCCGTTCTTGGAACGGTCAGCTCACCGGAAGGGAAGGTGAGTTCCAGGACGTTGATTGTCCCTGATGGCTTCCTCGACTTGTTTATGGGAGGGCGACAGCCTGGGCCTTTATGGGACGCGGTAATGCCCAAAAAGCTCTTCCGAGATGGAACGATAGAACTGCATTGGTGGACCAGGCCTCCTCCGTGACACAGTTCTGGATGACTTGCGCCATGGAGGGGTCCCCACCCTCTAGCGCCGACATCGCCAGCGAAGTACTCACTGAGAGGATGCTGAAGAGGATCACCCCGAACAAAAACAAGGAGAAGGGGCCGCCGACCTACAAATCCCAGCCAGGCCGCCACCGCGGCCAGAGCTGGACAGGCCAAATCCGCGGACAACTTCCGGCAACTGGCGACCCAAGTCAACACAGACCAGGCCGATTCCGGCCCTGGCCTGACTCCTGAACAAGAAGCACGTCTCTGTGAAGAAGAGCCCAGAGCACACAGTCCAGGTGATCGCGAAGGAGATGAAGGACGCAATCGTCCAGCCAAAATCAGAGCAAGCAACCAGACCGCCATGCAAGGCTGACGCTGGTTACGCCGCCGCGAAGCGACTGAGGAAGAGGCTCTTCGTAGGCATCAAGCTAGGCTAAGAGCGCTCTAAGCAAGCCTCCGGCTCCTCATGAGGAGTACTGCAGGGCGGTTGATATGGAACATCTAGTCTAGCCAATAGTTTGGCTGCGCATGCTGCGCGCCAGGCTGGAACCGGCCAGAAGGCTGGGTTTTCATCACAGACCGAAACCGGTCGGGACCGTGGCAGATCTCCCGGACCGTGATCGGAGTTGTGCTGCGCTCCTGGAAAAAGAGTGTTCGACAGTGTGGTAGGTCACTATCCGCAACCTACTCTCCCAACGTTTTGCGAGTGCTTTGCAGCTTCGGCTGTGCATGCTTTGTCTGCGAGTACTCTAAGTAAGAAGGGCGGCACTGGGCAATGCTATAAGCATTGCGGGCAATTTCAATGGACTTCTCAAGGAACACACACGTGAGCGCTACCGCTCCAAACTTTTGTGCATCTCACGTGAACGAGTGTTGCTCTGTGTATTTGCAAAATCCTTTTGGTATGCACTGTGGAAATTCAGAACCTGTACATGTCCGTTCTCAGAGGCTAGGTGACTCCTCGATGCCTTCATGGCAGAAAGGGTAACGTCGGAATTACGGCATTTGGAGCTCTTGGAACGCTATGGGCTATGAATATTGCAAATTATAAGCACTTGAAGTCCTGGAAAGGTTGCAGCATTTGGGGCTTTGGTCAGGCAGCAAACTCCGTAAATCAAGTATTTGGAATTTTGGAGAGGCTGCAAACACATGAGATCACCTGGAAATGTTGACGCAGAAAATGAAAATGACAACATTTCGGGCTCATATAACAGCTCGTGCTTGCATTCCCAAATCCTGGGTGGGGGGTTGGTTGGGGGGCACAGATCCCTTTTTCATTGTGCACGCATTACAAAACAGCGGAAATAACGGGGAGGTTAGAGGGCCGCAGGCCCCCACCCCATCTGCAAGACTTGGATGAGGATCAGAACATGTAGCGCAAACCTTTGATGGACTGTTTAGCGTTGTGCCTCTGTTACAAAATAGCGGGGGCTTGGGGGCGCGATTTGCAAAACATGCACGCGGATCAGAACTTGTGTCTTTGGAACACCTTTGATGCCTCTTTATTTCTTCCATTCTGCTTTCCTGTGTATGTTTTCTTGCCTTCTTTGTTTCTTGCGTCCTCGTTCTTCAGGCGTTAAGGGGACTACTACCCCCTCCCGGGCACAGCCAAGCACCCCTCACGTCTGCAGTTCAGGTCGGTACCCCAGAGGGCCAAGCTTCCAATCCAGAACCAGTCACTAATACATTGCCCCAACTCCTGTTCCTGGTCAGAGTTTGAAACTGCCTCCTTCTCAACAGGGCCGTGAGACTTTGCGAGGTGCCCATATCAGATCCCCATGCCATGAAATCACCTCCAATAGCCCGAATGCCCCACTCAGGCCTGCAGGCCAAGTGGCACGCAACACTCAGCCTAGCACGACTTCTCCCGAAAGCCATCTACACCCCCAGACTCCTTTTCTTTGTTCTTTCAGTTTTTTTGTATGTATCATCGTTTTATTGTCTTGCTACCTTCCTTCTTTTCTTGTTATTCCTTCTTTCTTGGTATCTTTATGTTTCTTTCTTCCATGATCCATTCATTATTCTTTCCTGGTCATTTTCTTTCTTACAGTCGTTCTTTCTTTCGGTTGTTCTTTCTTTGGCTATGTTTTATGTGCTTCTTTCTTTCTTTCTTGCGCTCTTCTTTTGTTTGCTTACAAGCTCTACTCGAAAGGCAAGTATTATGGTTTTCTCGCTCCTGATGTCCAGCGTCCAGAGCTACGAATGCTACGTTTGATGCAAAGAAAACGGAATTTCGTGTTTGGTGTTCATCCGTGGGTTTTTGTTCCTCTGTTTTATCCGTTTGTGTGTGTTGTTCTTTGTTTAAGCCCTCTGCCACTGCTTTACATGTCGTGCAAATCGCTCCTCGTTTGAGGGCTTAGAAAGTCGTTGCGATATTGTTTCAAGGAATTTGGTGTTGGGGTCTTGGACGGTCTTGGATTGAAAGTTCGGGCTGTTTCAGGATCATCCTTGAGGGCCTCTTGACGCTTTCCCTCCGTGCACAGCTCTCGCCTGTGTCCGGTCAATGGCTTTTTGCAGGAAGGTGTTGAATGCATCCAAAGAGTACTGGTACATGTGCTGTACCTGGCTGAAGCAGGCGTGAAAGATTCCGCGATTCCGTGCAATTGGGCGCACAACACACAGCTGGTTGATCAGGAAGAAAAGCATTGAGCCTGCATCATCGACACTGGCAAGATGCAGCAAAATGAGGATTGCAAAGAGACTGCAAGAAATTACAAGAGATGAAATATTATAGTAGTTGATCCCCTATTTTATCTGCAAGAAAGCAATTTCAACGCTCAAAGGCCTTCTGCAGCGACGGGCCGATAGAGCTCTCGGGAATGATTGATTTCAACCTGCGCTTCAGCATTGGAAACTATTTAGGGTGTAGGGTTTAGGGTCTAGGGTTTGGGGTATATAGTCCCCATAAGTAGATAGAATATGAGGTATATGGGGATCTTATTGTATGCCAATGACTTAATTAGTTATATGGAGGTTGTAGGGTTATATTGGGACTATAGAATGTAGGGATAATGGAAAAGAAAGTGGAAACTACTAAAATGGGTTGACCCTGTTCCAGCAGTTGGGCAAGCCCTTTTTTGGGCATCAAGCTAAGATGTGTCGTCCACGTGCTACTCGGCTGAGGGACCCAAGTCTAGCCAGCACATATTGCAGCATTTGCAAGTACATGCGAAGCGAACAGCTACTTACGCAGAACATCTCAAACAAAAACAAGTCATCAGGAATGAAATGATGCGTAAGCAGAAAAAGCAACACCCTGCCTCTGTCTTCTGCGCCTCCGCCACTTGCACCCCAATTTCACGGCTGGTCTGCTTGGTCTTCTCCAAGCCCTGCACTTTTTAAGTTTCATTTTGACATCTTCTCTTCTTGACTTGTGCCGTTGGGCCTCGATAAGAGGTAGGTTATCCAGTATGGTAGTTGGATCTGCGGCGGAGAGCTGGCTCAGCAGCTCGTCTTCGAGCCGGCTCAGCACCACCTTACTTTGCTCGCAGCTTGCAAGTAAGAACACGGGCAAAGCTGCATTTTGCTTTTGCACCTTGTACTCGTTCTGCCGTCGCACCAAGGACTGCCAGCGGGGGTTCATGCCAGGGGGCGACCAGCGGCAATCTGAGCCATGTGCGCAGCGCCTGCTTCTCTTCTTCAAGCTGCGGCTTCTCGCAATTGACAACCATGGCCAAGACTTGCTCCTGAGAGGAAGGTACAGAGGATTCTTCGCTTGCTTCAATTCCTTCGCTTGCTTCACCTGCCTCGAGCCCCTCAGGTGTTACGATGAAATTCACAACGGTGCACTGCGCGGAGACCTGGGCAAAACACTGGCAGACATCTCGCATCTACCTTGCCCACTTCCCACCTCAGGGCGGAAGTGCGGATTCGGCAGCTTTGACTGAAGGTAGAGCTGGAACCTGAGAAGGGGAAAGAAACTCTTCTTCGCATCTGTGTACAGTTGAACGGCTTGAATTCCTCCATTCGCAGCTGTATTCCACAACCGTTTCTAAGGCTAGCGCTTCGCATCGTACTCGATCTCATCAGGGCCCAGCTTCAGGAACATGGGGCCTCCTCTTCCACGCTGAATAACCTCGGCCCGAAGCTCTTAAGTGTCTTAAGTCTTAACATTTTCCAGGTATGGGCCGTCATGCTTGACATGCTTCTGCATGCTTGCAATTGCTTGCTGGGCTGACCGTCTCCGTCTTGGCATTGCATGGCATTGCGTAAGCACATCCCGCGTTTACACGTGTGATTGCATGCAACGCAAATCAAAAAGTGTACCAAGCATGGGCTTCGAAGCATGGCCCCTGCGTAAGGGAATGACACGCCATAATCAATGGCTCAAGTGTGACGCACAAAGTGAGGTGCGCAGGGTTGTAGGGTTCCTCCCCAGGGTTACTTCTGCAGTAGCTTCAGGGTTGGTTCAGGGCGGAGGCCAGGAGGTCAGGTACTTGAGGAGGCTCGATGTTTGGGTTAACCTTCGGAGCTTGATCTGATCCTCGTAGGCCATGGCTCGACAGTATAGTCATCTAGATGATGTTCCCCATAGTGTGAGGCAGGCTCTAGCTAATGCTAGCCCGGCCTTCTCCGTGATTACTGATTCTACGACCCCTGAAACCCTGACTCAATCACAGGTTATGATTCGCCCAAGTGACGTTAACACTACGCAACTATCAGCAAGAAGCATTCTACCACCAGCACCAGCCACAGCGTCAGCAGACAATGTGCAGGTTCGACTGCAGCAGATGCTTCAAATACAAGCGCCCATTGAGGTCCTCAGACTTCTCCAGACCGGTCAGCATGAGATTAGGTCAGAGGCCAAGACTGCGAAGGAGGTTCAAGTGAACGTGCAGCAGGTGGCTTCGGAGCTCGAAGCAAGGACTGAGCGATTGGCGTCTTGTTTGCTGAGCTTGACGAATGACGTGGAGGGTATGCGGTTACAATCCGATACATTGTTTCGAACTGCCAGCGAGCATCATGGTTTCTTGACAAATGCAGACAGCAAGCTGTCCGAACTTTTTACCAGAGTGCAGCAGATTGAACAAGCGTTATCGGCTTTGTCCCGTGGACAAGTATCTTCGAATCATCCATCAAGAGCCGTATAGATGTTCTTGAGCATGAGATACAAAGATGCAGACCTCAAAGACGGCAGCGGACGCGCTGCAAGGCGAGATGGCTTCGATGAAAGCTGTTATGGCCAAGCTTGAGGCTCAGTATGATGAACAAGAAGGACGCGCGCGAAACCGGTATGAAGAGATCATGAAGTCCGTTTCTAGTGGCCACGAAAGGTCCAGTGAATTGGACACCAGAATGAAGCTGGCAATGGAGCGTATTGTTGGAAGTGAGCGGTTGTGCGAGAAGCTTCGAAAGGCCGACGCCGACCTTGAAACACAATTTCGACAGCTTAAGGGCCACATTGGCGACGAGTCGCAGCAGCAGCATCAAGCAGCAGCAACGATACCGTCATCAAGCGATTCATCCCAAAGTGATACGCAGCAAACTCCAAGAGCTAGCAAAGGTCCTGTGGAGTTCAAGATGACTCCACAACTGAATGATGTGACTTGGGAGGTCGACAACACCGCTGGGTGGCACGATGACGGTGATGCTGAGGGCACGAAGACGCGCCCGCAGATTGGCGTCACCTCTTCTCCACCTGGATTGCCGAAACACATGCGGAAGGCCGTCGAAGTTCCGCAGTCTTCCTGGAAGTTATTGAAAGACATGCCCAAGCTGAACGCTAGTGCAGCCGAGGCATGGGAGAGAGGAGTAGCTTTCAGGCAGTGGACTACTGAGATGGCAGCGATTGCAGAGGCCATTCACCCCTCTTTTGCTGAATATTTCAGAAACAAGTTGGATGAAGGGCGAACCCGATACGAGAAGCGCTTGGAGCAGGGTTTTGACGAGCCACCTTCGGCTGTTAGGTTAGGCCAAAGGATCGGGAGCTGGAAACAAGGCTCTCACTGGCGTTGCTTAAGATCCTTCCAGGGAAGATGAAGACCCATGCCTTACATTGGATGGCATTAGCGTGGCCGCTCTTCTTGAGGCCATCTATGAGCAGATGACGCCTGGGGGAGTCAGGGAGAAGAATTCCCTGCTCCAGTACTTGAGATCGCCTCCGGCATCAAACACTGGGGAAGAGCTCACTGCTACTCTCAGGCGTTACCGTCTTGCCCAGCAACGAGCCAGACATCTTGATATTCCGCAGCAAGCGGCCCATGAAACCGTTGCAGCACTTGATGCGATGGTCAAACCGCTCGAACGCAAGCATCAACCTCTTAGCGTTCGCCTCGGAATACTCAGGTTGCAATCCAACATTAAGATTCCCACCGTCGACGGCGTGGAATTGTATCTCAAAATCTTGGAGGCCGAAGCCATCAAGTTACAAGCAGAGGACATTTCCAAGCCAAAGAACGCCAAGGCAGACTCCGAGGAGCACTACATCCCCAATGCAAATCAAGCCGCAGCTGGAGGCAAGGGCGGATCGAGAATTTGTGCCTACTTCAACACGGCCAGAGGTTGTTTGATGGGCGCTGAGTGCGAGTTTCGCCATGAGCCCGTGGGAGCAGGAAAGGGCGCAAAGGGAAGTGAGAAGGCGGCGGGAAGGCTGGCGAGCCAAAGGGTAAAGCCAAAGCGGGAGCAAGGGCAGAAGCCAAAGCAGCAGCTAAGGCGGTAGCCAAAGCAGCTGCCAAGGCAGAAGCTAAGGCAGCTACAGAAGCAGCAGCCGCAGCTGAGGCAAAAGCAGAAGCAAAACGCAAGGCCAAGGCGGACAAGAAGGCCGCCAAAGCGGCAGCGAAAGCAGCAGCGGCAGCGACATCGTCCACTTCGGCCACGGCACCCACCATCTTCGAGGATCCTATTCCACTTTTGGCAAGAGCATCTCCAAACGCCTCTTCATCGGACTATGCCCCACGAGCCTCCGTGAGAACGCAGAGTCTGAAGTCGACTTTGAGGAGGAGACTGAGGTGATCAGCTTGGTGGGAGCGGATCCTGCCGACGATGAGGGCCTAAATAGTGATGACAATCATGGCGTTTCGGATGTTGAGGGGATTCAGACGCATGCAGAAGCTAGCACCCCAGAGTGGTCGGATGTGGAGCAAGGACAGTTTCCCAGCCCGGCTACCACGCCACGTTCGGACAGCGAGGTTGAGTTAATTGGTGTTAGGGAACCTCCTGCCCCGCTTTGGGTTTTGAACTTGACGCTGAGCGAGTATGTAGCATGGACGCGCCGAGGACACGTACAATCGTATGCCCACAGCCCTTTTGAGCAGGAGACCAACCCAAATTCCATCATGTGGCCCACGTGGTGGACCATAGCAGCTGATCAACTGAGCGACGACGAAGATGGTACAATTCGTGTGGTGGATGAGGTGTGCATGCTACGATGTACGGTGACCATGGTTCTGTTCGAGGACGGGATCATCAGACCAGTTTTCGTGGTATGGCTTCTTGAAAAGGTGTCCGGAAGAGAGAGAATGGCAGCTTTGATCCGAGAACAATCCAAGCCCGTCATTCGGCCTTGGCCTGCAGAGGAGTTGAGCAAGGCGGCTCCGCCAAAGGCGAAAGGATGGGCCAAGGCAAAGATGCCTACTGCGCCAACCCCTAAAAGTACCCTTGGTGATGCTGCATATGCTTACACGCACGTGGAGAAGGCTTCGTATCTTCACCTGGATACATTTCAGGGCCCACCAATACTTTGGAGCTGGCGCAGACGGTTGCATCAGAAGCATTTCCCAAAGCATCCACAGCAGTTCCCAAAGCAGCCACAGCAGTTCCCAAGGCAGTCCCTAAAGCAGGTAGCGAGGTTTCCCAACGGAGTCCTTCAACGGCCATGCGGCGCATATGCGAGGAGGAGAGCATAGAGGCAATCCCTACTCTTATTGTAGGCGTCGAGCCGAATATGATCGTCCCCAAGTGAAGACCATGGAGACGAACCAACACTTGTGGGAACGCATCAATATATGAACATGGCTCACCGACTGGAGCGCACAGACCATCCTGCGGCCAACATCGCAGCTCCGAGACAGCAGCCAGCTGTTCTTGTGGATTCCGGGGCAAACGAAACCATCAGACCCTGGGGTGAGACCATCAATGAAACAGGCTGCAAGAAGACATCCGTGGTGACGGCCAGTGGAGACAGGGTTCCGGCCTTGAGGACAACGGACGGAGAGTTGCGCATTAAGTCAAGTGGAGAGAGCTGCGACTGGCTATTGAGTGTGCGCCGCCTCGTCGAAGCAGGTGGCACATTTGGATGGACACAGAACGGAGCTGAGGTGGCATTTCGCGACCATGAAGGACGTGAACAGCACATCAAGCGCCATATCGTAAACGGTCTCCCATTTCTTGGTTGGACCGAGTTCAGGCCAATACGAATTCTGTTGTCCAAGCATTACAAGTCCCAGGGAGGAACTGTATTTAAGGCCGCAGCCAACGACCAAGTTGCGAGACCTGCTCGGTGGAGGAGTTGTATCGAACCCTTTGGGAAGAGGAGACCTATCGCATCTCCGTTGCCGAGCGCCAGGACGTGATTGAGTCGGAAGCTTGGGCAAAAGAACTGCTAGGAAAGCCGTCAGTGACTTTTAGTGAAGTCTGGGAGCGCGTACAAAAGGCCGGTCTCCGGGGCCAGCGTACACGGCGCGATCGACTTCGTGAGGAAAAGGAAGCAGGGTTCAGAAGTGGGTGTTCGGAATGTATTGCCACGGAGGCATCACTGGACTGACATCCCTGACCCGAGAACGCCCGTTCTTGACCCGACTGCTGGCCCGCATGATGCGTCAGGAGCTCCCTGACCTATCCTTTACGACTCGCTTTGGCTATCGACTCCACCTTGAAACCTCACCGGGATTTGGCCAATGCTGTCAACAGCAGAGCTGGAATAGTTGGCACATCCGAATTCCAAGGAGGAAGATTGTGGGTTGAACATCCCGATGGCACAATCAAGAGGCGCATTTCGGCAGACAAGGTCAAAGTTGGAAAGCTCCTGGATGTGTGTCAACAAGCGCAGATCTTTGATCCTCGTCAATGGCATGGAGCCGACAAGCATCAGGGGGTCAGAGCAACTGTCAGTGCGTATACCGCGCGACAGCTGTACAATTTGGACCGCGACTTGATTGAAGAGCTGAGGACCCTTGAGTTCTCACTCCCGGACAGCGGCTCAACTGTGTCAGCCAGCCGAGCAGCAGCAGCGGAAGCTCCAGCACTCACCTTCTACCCAACATATCACCAGCAATCACTGAGCAAACCTCACAACCAACAAGCACGCATACTTCCCAAACCCAAACTGATGATGATGATGAGATGATGTTTGGATACGCGGGTTTTGTGGGTTCTGGTTCGTCCGGTAGGTGTGAGGGTTGCGGAGTAGTCCTTGGGGAGGGTAAAGAGCAAGTCTCGGCGCCGCCATGGATAGGGAGCCACGCTGAGGAGGTTGAGCCGGATTCCAGTTTTTCTGAAGCTGCACAGAAGAGGGCTATCGAACTTCTGCAACGCAAGTGTAGTCAGGGCCTGTGTGAGAAACACTGTCCGGATTGCGCTGAAGCTCATGGCCACAAACGTAAGTGCAGACGGCTCTCACCTGAGGATGTTGGAAAGGGTACTTTATATGGACCTGTCAGGGCCTCGCCCCACGTCGTTTTCTGGACACAGGTATTTCTTGGCGGCCAACTTGAGTATGCCGGAGGGTGATGACATTCCTTTTTCACGGTTGTTGAAAACCAAAACTACTGAAGAGGTAGCCAGGGCTTTAACTTCTGTGATGCATCAGATCGTTTCGCTTGCTCAGGGGGCGCCACCGGTTTTCCGTATCCATTCTGATGCTGGGAAGGAGTTTATTGGCGGATCTTTTCAAAAGGAGGTTGAGTCCTGCTCCGTACACGCCTCAACAGAACGGAAAAGCAGAACGACTGGTTGGGTTGATCAAAGGGGCAGCTGGAGCATTGTTTCTTCATGCGCAGCTACCGTTGCAGTTGTGGAGTGAGGCAGTTTTGGAAGCAACCTTTTTGAGGCGATGCCGAGCTTTGAAGTTGTTGATTCCTAAGGACCGTCCTCGCATGGGTGATACTGTGTTAATTCGGAAGCCTCCTTTGCCAGATGAACACGCCTTTGCTCCGAGAGCTGAAGAGGGCATATTCCTGGCCAACGACGAAAGGACTCCAGGTGGAGCCAGAATCATGGTCATCCGGGACGGCAACACTTCCAATCTTGAAGGATAAACCCTTGCCCAGGTGGAAACTGGAGAAGGGACCGGATGGACAAGTGGTCTGGCTGAGCAATCATGGTGACATTAAGTGGCAAGCACCGCCGGAAGACTTGCTGACGGTTGAGGAGGCAAGAGGAGAGGTGCAGCCCTGGAACGCCGGGAACACAGCTGCGGACTTGATCAGAGCACGTTTCAAACATCACATGCAGCCAGAGCTCTTGTTCAGCCTATTTGGTCACGGATTCATGGTAGATGTTGTGGATATGGTTGTGGCACCGGAAGCTGCAACGGCTACAGCAGCCGTGAATCTTGAAAGGAGTGGTGCCAAGGACCGCTATTATGTTCTCAGCTACAAGGCTGAACAAGACATGTTGCAGTCTGAAGCTGAGCCGCACCGTGTAACCATTGCAGAAGACGAGGACGCAAGCGTGTTTACACGGCAGGGAGTTGAAGAATGGGAACGTGAAAAGTGGGCGCATGGTCTTTCTAAGGAGCTCGACAATATGAAGACCAAGGGCATCCTCATCGAAGTGGACACTGGCATGTACCCTGACGTCAGGTCAGTCCCAAGCAAGCTTGTGCTACGGAAAAAGCCGATCCAGGACAACGAGACCGAGGAGCCGAGAAAGGTTGGAGCCACTGAAATGGCAGAAATAGTCAAGAGGGCCTGGGACCCGCGGGTCCGCCTTGTCGCCTTGTCGCGTGTGGCAACTTCGAACGCGGATCCAAAGCCGGGGAGCCAGCCGACTATTCTGCAAACCCTGGGCCCGATCTGACGCGAGCCCTCATCTCCCTCCTCGCCAGAAACCGCAAGACATGGTCTGCCCTAGTGCTTGACATTTCTTGCGCATTTCTCAACGCGCCATTGGAGACAGCAGAAGGCCAAAACCCAGTTTTGATTCAGCCGCCGAGCATTTTATACCGACTTGGACTGATTTCGCGAGGCATTATATGGCGCGCGGCGAGAGCCATCTATGGACTACGGAAATCACCCAAACTCTGGGAGCAAGAGCGCAATAGCGAGCTGAATGACGCCCAGCTCCTGCCAGAATCCCAGGACCAGCTTGGAGTCCTCACCTTGCGAGAGGTGACCAGTGGCTTTTGGATTGTCCAGGACGGCCATGGAAACTTAGTTGGGGGGATGATGATGTACGTGGATGAGGCCATCATCACAGGGCAACCTGAGTTAATTCGGCGTGTGCACCGCTGCCTTCGTAACTTGTGGGACCTCAAGGTCCAGGGCATGCTGAGCAACGAGTATCTTGATCTGGTGTCTGGGCAATCATTTGAGTTGGATAGCGGCTCCACAATGGTGAAAGACGAGCTCACCTATTTGGGCTTTCAAATCCAGCGTTGCGACAGTGGAGTGGCTGTTCACCAGCAGAACTGGCTGGATGCGGAGATGAAGAAGAGGGCCTGGCTAAATCTCCAGGGCACTGACACTCTGCCTGAGGTAGAGGAAGGAAAGTGGCCGCCAATGGAGAAAGATGCTGGGTACAGAGTGGCTCTGAAAGAGTGCCAGTCGGAGATTGGTTCGCTTCAATGGGCTGCCTTAAGATCGCGTCCTGATGTCAGCGCTGTGATGACAGTGGACCCTGTGAAGGTGCTTGCTCTTGCAAAACGCGTGTGGAGATATCTGAAGGGTACTTTTTCATACAAGTTGATGTATAAGTACTGCGACAACTTCAATGACAAGATTCTCTGCTACGGAGATGCTTGATTTGCCTCAGGGGCTTCAAGGTCTCGAAGTGGAACCTGGATTTGTTTTGGAGAGCACGTCCTCTCCTGGAAGTCCAAGCGTCAGACAATCTGTGCCTGGAGTGCATTTGAAGCAGAGCTTGATGCACAGATGGGCGTGCATATCCAGAGGACACTGGAAGGCATGCTCAACAAAAGGCTGGAGATGACCTTGTACAGCGACAACGCAGCCTGCGTTATTAATCTGGTCAGAGACGATGGGGAGTGCCTCACTGCCAGAACCAGAGCAGTTGGGATCAGGTGCTTTTACCTGCGAGATCAGTGTGTGACAGAGGGCTTCGATATCGAACACATGGCAGGGTCAGAGCTGCCAGCAGATCCGCTCACAAAGATTCTTCGGCGAGCTAAGCTTGCAATCGCAAGAACGAAGCTCGGCTTGGTCGTAGTTTGACACGTTTGCACTACGTACGCATTCTTTTGAGTCGACTAGTGGTCTTGAGATCCAGCAGTTGACACCTAGTGTTTCAATCGGATTTTACCGAAGGAATAGTCCAGTAGGATCCGTAATTAGAAGTGAGTAGGTCTAGGAGTGCCTAAGCCGCTGTAGGTGTGTCCACTGGGACGAAAAAACTAATGAGCCTCGAAAGAAGAAAGAAAAAGACCGGTGACGGGGCATCCGGCAAAGAGCCCACCAGGTGGGTCGTGGCACGCTGTTTTGGCTTGAAGAGCGGCAGTAGCTAGGACAAGGCACTACCTAGACGTGTGCAAGTTTAGTGTTGATGCATCTGTGAGCCGCGCTCCGGCTTGTGCAGTCGCACGAGGAAGAGTGTGATTGCATGCAGCACAAATCAAGAAGTGTACCAAGCATGGGCTTCGAAGCATGGCCCCTGCGTAAGGGAATGACACGCCATAATCAATGGCTCAAGTGTGACGCACAAAGTGAGGTGTGCAGGGTTGTAGGGTTCCTCCCCAG